TGCCGGAGGGGGGTGGGGGACTGCGGCCGCGTTTGCTCCTCTCGGTGCCGAGGAACATGGCGGCGCCTGAGGCATCTACATCGTCGGCGGCCGCAACCTCGGCAGTAGCGAAACGGGACCGTCCACGCCTGTACACCGCAGACAAACTAAGGGAGCGGAAGAACGACATTCGTGCTTTCGCATTCACGACTCTAAAGAAGTGCTTAGATGTCCTCGGAATTTTTTTCCCTTCCGTAATAAACATTGGCTCGAATCGTGTTATGGTTGCTATCCGGAAAACTCTCACGTATACTCCGCATCAAATATATTCTCATCGCAATAACGAGTACTTTTGCTTTACAATCAAAATTAATCATTGCAATTTTGTTTTTTAGTGGCGACATACATATTACCAAAGGTAGCTTTTGATAAAGACCGACTTCTTAATCGTTGTCCACCACCCTATGTGCTAACTGGAGATTTTAATGTCCACCATCCGAGTTGGGAAGTTTTTACGCAAATAGTCAAGGAAGACAACTAGCTGACAGGGCAGCATCACACGGTCTTTCAGTAGCAAATGGCAGAAGTCCATCGTACATACGAGGGACAAGATACAGCTATTGTCTCGATGTCACCTTTATTTCATCGTCCTTATTTTCTTATATCAACTGGTATACTGACGTTGAAACGCGAGGAAGTGAACATATACCAAAGGATATCAAAGTTACCTCTTTTTTATCAGCTTCGAGGAGTCATGTGTCAAGTGTAGATTTTGGCAGATCTTTGAAGATTCCATGGAAATATCATCAGAAGATAAAAATTATCTATCCTCGTTTTCCACTGCTTTTTTTATGTCAATGGAGGCTCCACCAAAATGCTCAATGTTCCTTGACACTGTTTCGCAATCGATGTTGAGTATGAACGCCTGCGGGCTATTAGACGCCGCTCCGAGCGTCGTTATCAAAGAGCGAAAGATAAGGGGGATTTGCGCAGCTCACGTGAGGCTCAAAGGCATATTAGACGACGCATTATGGAACTTGGCAGAAAACGCTGGGAATCATGTTCTTCCTCCCTCGATCATCGAAAACCGTTATTCAAAATATGGAACATCTCTGTAGGGATTAAATCTCTTCCTTAGCAACGCTATCTATCCCGAGCGCTTGAGTTATTAACGCAATGTGATGAAATATCTGTAGCAGAAACATTTTGTGAGTCACTAGCAAGCGTCACAGTAGCCGACCATATACTACGTTTCACCATACTTCCGAGCGCGGCCGATGTTGTGAGCCAAAGGGCCAATCAAACAGCTTAAAAAGCGCAACGTCATGGCGTACTCTCCGCTCTTGATAGGACTAGCCGGCGGAGGAGCACACACACTGTAAAAAATTTCCACCCCATTTTACGGGCAAGAGTTGCCGGTTCAATTTTGCCGGCATGGTTTGCCGTGATGCGTGCTACCTGGTTTCCGTAAAAACCGAGTCCTATGACCTGCCCAGCGAGCCACTGGTGCTCATTAACAGGAATTAATTAAATGTGTGCATACTAGAAGTCTTCAAGTTGAGTCGCTCAGAGTGCAGTGTATACCATGAAACCAATTCCAGTGGCCCAAACGCTCGACAGTTCGATGGTACACTGTGCTCAGTCCAATTATTCTCAACATGTTTATTAATCGTGATAATGCCTCCCGGCGATCAACTCCACTGCTGTTACAGACGACCTGATACTAGTGCCGCTTATCAGGTGACCCCAGAAACCACCAGGGTTTGCAAAACAACATCGACAAGGTCTGCTATAAACAGTCAGCTACGCTTCTTCACACAGGCTGACGACAGTTTTGTTCAAAACGTGCGGAACACTGGGTTTTGTACTTAGCGTGTCCAGTAGAACAGGCCATAGCCCACTTAGGTGCCTTTCACAGCCCTGGTCCTGCCACACCTAGAGTATCGCAGCTCCATATGAGACTCCTATAAGGTTGATCTTGTAAGATCAGTTGAAAGTGTTAATCGAAGGGTAACTTACACTATTCTTCGGCAGCCAAGCTCACTCCGGATCACTCACTGCTTTGACATTGGCTAGAATTCTGGCCCTTCACTGGACGACCAGAGTTCATCTCAAGTGTGGCCCCCCAGCGGGTCGTCTTATTATGCCTCCGAAACAACGTTGAGGAACTGCAAGTTCACGAGACAGCCCTGAAGGGTGTTGTTTGCAAGAAATGTGCCGGTGCCTTTCAACCGTTCTCTACTGTAGAGCCTTACTTCTTGGTGTGGTCTTCACTGTTCTGGCAATCCCTTTATGTGCACTCAAGCAGAACCCCCCCCCCCCCCCCCCCCCCCCCGCCTAACGATCATCACAAGTTTGAAAACGTCTGAAGACAGGAAACTCGCCACCTTCACTCCCAGTGAGGTTGAGCAGTGCCTATGTGCTTTAATGTAAATTACAGACTTTTACTTAATTTCTATTTTGTGTTTCCCCCACCTTTTTTATTTGTTCTTTTTGCAGGGTACTGCAGATTTTTGGTATAGTCTTTGGCCTCTTTACTATAAGAAATTGCTCTTAGCAGGATTGAACAATAAAAGCACTTCTAACGCTTTTATTCTCTACTATGCTACTCTTCGGCACACAACTGTACTATTCTTTTCAACCTAATGAAAAACGGGTTTTATGTCCGTTAACTAAGAAACGGACACACAGTCCGTCAGAATTACGACAAAGTGTTTGTAAAATTACGGAAATTGTTTACAGTGCAGAGAGAGACGGCGAATACCGGCTGGTCCTATCAACTGCAGAGCGCACGCGTTGTGCCTCTTTCGCTGTTTGATTGGCCCTTCGGCTCATAACATCGGCCGCACTAGGACCGAAGCTGAAACGAAGTATAGTCTCAGCAAAAGAAATCATAATTCCTATTTCTGCAGACAAAGCCACTGATTTTCCTTTCACTCAACTAGAACTTGACACAAGGTTGGTTTTGTCGAACTCATCGCCTTCTCCAGGACCGAATGGAGTAAACTTATGGCACTAAAACATCTTGGATCTGAAGCTCGGATGAAACTTCTGACGTTCTATAACAGCATTTGGGAGACAGGACAAATTCCTTCGTCTTGGAAAACAAGTAAAATTATTCCTCTGTTAAAGATTGGTAAATCAAACTTGAGCTTATCGTCTAATAGGCCAATCGCCCTTTCCAGCTGCATTGGTAAAATGATGGAACGGATGATTCTGATTTGCATGGAGTGGTGCCTTGAAAAACGGAAGTGTTACCTAGAATTCATGTCAGAATTTGGCAAGACCCATAGCTCCACAGATGGCGTAATTGACCTGATAAGCTAGACCGATGATCATAAATAAAAAAAAATATATATCAACGCTGCAGTGTTTTTAGATATACGCAGCGCTTTGGACTCCGTGTCTCACGCGGCATTCTTGAATTCCTTAAACCATCTTGGATTTTCTGGTCGCCTTTATGCCTGGATTGTTAGCTAGGTTGATGATTGGACAACATTTATAACAACGGATGCAGGAAACACAACAACATATAAAACGTACCGAAGTTCATCACAGAAAGGCGCCCTAAGTCCTACGCTTTTTAACTGTCTCTTATTGGTCTAGCAAATCAAATCCCCACAACAGTTAGAGCATCATCTTATGCAGATGATATCTTCATTTGGACATCAAGCATTACTAGGCTTCACATGCGCGCCAGACTTAAAAAAAATATTTCAATTTAATCAATAAGAATCTTTCTGAATGCGGTCTCATTATACTAGCAACAAAATTTACTGCAATCGCTTTTACTCGACGCGATATGGAGAAATACCCGCTAACCATATCCCGAAACGTAATCCGATACATGAAACATAACTTTTTCTTGGAGTTGTAATTGATAGAGGCCTTAGCTGGGCTCCAGCCTCCTCACATATATAACTTAAAGCAAAAAGTTGCTGCGTTTATAATGTTGGCAGCTTCATCAGCGGATTTACTTGGAGTTAATCTGTATTGTCCATGCTCCATATTTACCAAGACTTTTGCAGGATATTTGAGGCACAGCCTTCATGCACTCAACGGAACTTGTAATGCACGGCACTTAGAAGTTTGCAAGGCCAGTCCCTTCGTACATGCATGCCCAGGCCTTCCTAGATTGGCATCAACACTGTGAACTATTACTGAGGCACGTACCTGCCCCATTCCGGTTCTTCAAGTTCAAGAAACCGTAAGAGTGCACTTACGAGACGTTAACTCTGCGCCCAGAACATCACCTTGCAGACATACCGTCAAAAAACTTTCGAAATTCGCACAAGTGATTTTTAGACACAATGATATAATATCAACCGGCTTCGCCCCTCACAAGGCACCACCATGCACTTTTTCTATCCTAAATACAAAATACAAAATTCCAGGCATTAAGACAAAAGCTGGTGTTGCTGTGTGTACTTCGCCTGTGCAAATTAGGGATGATCTACGCAACATATAATAAATATACACACATATTCACTGGTGGCTCCAGCAGTGAATCTACCTCGACGGCAGCAAGTTGCGTACCAAGCACAGAAACAACCCTGAGCTTTACGTTTTCTCATAAAACATCTTCAACAGTCTCGAAGTTTGAAGCCATTTACGAAGCGCTAAAGCGCATCGAAAAGTAATTCTCTCGTAGATAGGCTCTCCTTACAGATTCAAAAAAAGCATTACTGACTCTGCAATCAATAATGAAAGGAGGGGCGTGGAACCGGCGCGGCGATGACGGTGCCGTTCACGAAATTCCTACTGCTTACGCAGGTCATTTCCAGTGTTCCTCAACACCAGTCCTACATCGACAACAACATCGTAGAAGGATCCCTCGCGACATCACGGTGGATCGACGGAGGGCAAGATTATAGCGATTCCCTGAACCTGACGAGGGCGTCAACTGACTTCGGCCGATGCGACTTGCCGCTCTACGAACACTGGAGTGGCAACGCGGTTGTCTACACTCTACAAAGGCGGACACTCCCAGTCTGCTGTTGGGGCGTGGAACCGGCGCGACGATGACGGTGCCGTTCACGAAATTCCTACTGCTTACGCATTTTAGTAGATTAGTGCCTGGAGCACGGTTTGCTGTGTATGCTTTGCCGGTTCCACGCCAAAATCTTTACAACAGTGTCAAAAAGCACTCGATTCAAATGTCGCGTGTACGAAGGCGTTTCCTTTTGTTGCGACGGCTTTCGTTTTACTTGTTACTGCTCTTGCTGTGCGGGGACGTTGAGCTAAACCCCGGTCCCGGGCCAACTTTACAGATGATTTTTGATGGGCAAGAAGCAATTAAGGCCCAACTTCAAGGCATTGAGGCCAATCAACTAACGCAAAATCTGGTTTTGGAAGATGTGAAAAAACGGCTGTCATCGTTGGAAGCACAGGTTGCAACGCTGACAAACTTGGAGTCAGTAGTGAATGAGTGTAGAAAGAGCTGCGAAGACCAGCAGCGTATCACACATTCGCTCATGTCAAAGGTTGACGATCTGGAAAACCGTAGTAGGCGATGCAACCTAGTGTTTTACGGTGTTGCGGATAAAAATGCGCAAGAAACATGGCCTGTATCTGAAACATTGGTTCGGGAAATATGCGAGACAAAACTTGGCGTAAGGCCTACAGCAATCGAAAGAGCACACAGGATTGGCAAATTCCAGGCGGATAAAACTCGACCTATAATTGCTAACTTTGCGTCGTTCAAAGAAACGCAAACTATCCTAGGAAATGCGAAACACTTGAAGGGAACTCGTATCAGTTTATCGGAGGATTTCTCTGACGTAGTGCGCAGAAAACGACGGCATCTCTGGGAATTTGCCAAATCACGCAAAACTGATGATACACGAGTTAGACTCAGGCATTATGTACTGTATCTAAATGATGTTAAATATGTTTTCGACGATGATACAAGTCAAGTAGTCCAGTTCAAGTGACCGAGTACTGGCTCGCCCAAAACTGCTTCCTTTGTTGTAATTAACTGCCGGAGCATCAAAAACAAAATTGAAGATTTCAATAGCCTGATACAAATTGTTAAACCGTCGGTTGTTATTGGTACGGAATCTTGGCTGGACGAGGGTATAGCTGATAGCGAGGTATTTCCCGAGCATTTTACGTGTTATCGAAAAGACAGAAATTGTCACGGTGGCGGTGTGTTTATCTTGGTCAACCAAAATATTCCTTCAAGCAGAATAGAAGTTGAAAGCTCGTGCGAAGGGGTGTGGTGCCGATTGAGACTTTGTAATGGAAAAACCTTATCAGTATGTTCTTTCTACCGGCCACCAGCAAGTTCAGTTGAGGTATTATCAGGATTCACAACCATGACTGAAGCAATAAAAACTGATTGTATTGTAATAGGTGGTGATTTTAATCTCCCTAATTTTGACTGGAACCAACAGGGCGCTTTTTCTGGCGCAACTCGAGGGCACGCTGCAGTTATGTCTAATTTTATGAATTTGTTTGCACTCACTCAGACTGTGTTGCAGCCAACTCGAGGAAACCGCGTTCTAGATCTTTTTCTCACAAATGAACCAGACCTGTTACAGTCTACCCTAGTAATACCAGGTATTAGCAATCATGACATGTTGTTTGTGAAATGAATCTAGGGCACATAAAAATTTACAACAGGAGTACTAGACGTATTTACAATTATGCGAAAGCCAACACAGCGGAGATTTGCAACGCGCTGGACTCGTACTTTATAGTTTTTGAAACACTTGCCGAATCTTGTACTGTAAGCGACCTTTGGATATTTTTTAAGAGGAAGATACTAGAACTTCAAGAGCGCGCTTTGTCCCTACTTGGATCCTAACTACCAGACGAAATAAAAGCAAGCCTTGGTTTACAAAACAACTTCAAAGGTTGACACAGCGAAAACAGAGAATTTATCTTGCATTTAAGAAGAACCCGATTGCTGTAAATCTCAACAAATTGAAAGCAATATCCAGCGAATTAAAAACTAAAATAGCCGAAGCGAAATGTGCTTACTTTGAATCATTTCAGGGTAAAGTTAAAGAAAATCCGAAAGAACTTTGGAAGTACATTAAGAAAAATAAAAAAAAGATAACGTATCGGTTCCTGCTCTTCTGGATAGTGACAATATCATTAACAAACCTATTGATAAAGCGGAATGTTTCAACAGTTATTTCAGCTCCGTATTTTCGTTACCAGTGGCAGATATAATGTCCGAACTGAAAGGCCTGTTTGGGGTGGAGTAGCATTCATGGAAGACATATTGTTTGATTCACATGGGATAAACATTTTACTGGAGCGATCAAGTGTTTCAAAGGCTGCAGGCCCGGACGGCTTACCAAATGCCCTGCTGAAATCCTGTGCACGTTCGATTACTCCATATTTGAAAGGGATTTTTGAGAAGTCTTTGCATGATTGTGCTCTTCCTAATGACTGGAAAATAGCGTCTGTTGTTCCCGCTCACAAATCAGGCGCTCGTAATGTTATTTCAAATTACCGTCCTATTTCTTTAACTTCTGTTTGTTGCAAAATTCTGGAACATATTTTATATACGTCTATTCTGAAGCACATTGATGGTCATTCTCTGTTTAACCCATTCCAACACGGCTTCCGGAAAGGGCTGTCGTGCGTGACACAGTTAACAGAATTCACCCACGATATCGCACAAGCACTGGACAACCGTGCAACAGTAGACTGTGTCTTTATAGACTTGCGGAAAGCATTCGACTTGGTTCCCCATACATTATTGGCGCAAAAATTATCGAATTTTAATATTAACCCTAAAGTTATTTCCTGGATTGCTGAGTATCTCCGTGAAAGGCGTCAGTACGTCGTAGTTAGTGGTGCAGCATCGACAATCGCTGATGTGACATCAGGGGTGCCACAGGGATCAGTCTTAGGACCTTTACTTTTCTTAATTTATATAAATGATATTAATGAAAACGTTACGTCGTGTATGAGAATGTTTGCCTATGATTGCGTACTGTATAAAAAAATAACCTGTGAAAGTGATAATCAGATAGTACAGAATGATTTAGATACAATATACACCTGGTGCGAAAAATGAGGGATGAAACTTAATCTAGATAAAACTGTGTCCATGACGTTTTCGAGACAGCAAGTGAAAACTAATTTTCGTTATGTAATCAAAAATATTATTTTACAAACAGTGTCTGAATATAAGTATTTAGGCGTCTACTTCACAACCTCGCTGAGTTGGCATCGACATGTGGATTTCACTATTGCAAAAGCTAGCAGGTCTTTAGGGTTCATAAAGCGCAACACTAGACAGTTTCCGCATGACATCCGAGAACTCTTGTATAAAACTAATGTGCGCTCTATACTAGAATATGCCTGCACGGTATGGGACCCTCCGACAAACACTGACAAAGAGAAAATAGAGAAAGTGCAAAATTTAGCCGCTCGGTATGTGTTAGGAAAGCCAAAACGGGGTGGTGATTTTAGCGCGACGCGTGCAAGACAAACATTAAAATGGGACACACTTGAGCACCGTCGAGCAAAGCTTCGTTTAAAGCTTTTCCATAGCATATATAATTCACAATCTTTTATTCCATACGAAACCTATATTTCTTCACCACATTATGTATCTGCTCGTGTGGGTCATGCCCACAAAGTGCGTGAGCTTAGATGCAAGACTGTAGCATACAGTAGCTCTTTTTTCCCTAAAACGATTTCCCAATGGAATCGGTTGCCTTCAACCATAGCGTCTGTTATAGACAATGATGCTTTTTATGCTGCCCTAGAAAAGTCACGTCATTCGATTGAAAAGGTTCATAGCATGATTCTAATAATGTCTTTGTAAAACTTGTTGCAATCTTCTCCGTGTGTCGCGATAGTTGTGACTTTGTTGTTTCATATTCGCGAAATCTTTTTTGTTCGATTGGTTGTCTTTTTATGAATGTTTCCAACGTAGTACCTGTTACGTCATACTTGATTTTTTGTGTATAACCCCGCCACTGTAATGCCGAAAGGCGCTGTGGGTATCAAATAAATAAATAAATAAATAAATACTTTGCACTTCTACTTGACTACATCCCTGGCAGATTCTATTCTGCAGAGCGGACACGTTCTTCTTCTCTTTCAGTGGGTCCCGGGTCACTGTGAAATCATTCGTAATGAAAATGCCGATGAAGCCGCCAAGAGGAGCACACAATAACCCCACAACTATTGCGATCTCATACTTCCGAACAGATGCTGCATCAGCACTTCTTCAAGCGGCCAAAAAAATCTAACATTAAATCCATGGAGGTATTATGATTTCTATCATGTCCACCTCGACTCCTTATTACCTAAAATTATATTCCATATACCACCCGGTCTTTCTCGACGAATCGAAACCACGATTCATAGACTATACGTTTAGGAGTAGCTTTCACGAAGTTTCTTCACAAGATCACGAAAGTATCAAGTCCGAACTGTCCAGCTTGCAACTCTTCGGAAATAATCGAACCCATTCTTATTGTGTGTCCTCTTCATGACACCGAGAGACGGATACTTGAGACTGCTCTCTCAGATATGGATGATAGTCCATTAACTGCTGAAAAAACACTTTGTCGTTGGAACTTGGTTGAAAGCTACGTTACGACAACAAATGGCTTGCTTACCTTTTCGCGAGACACAAGGTAAACACTGACACTCTAAGGAGTAAGAAAACGAACCATTGATCATCTCATCCTTTCCCTTCCTCATTGGTAAACTCATAATCATCTTGTTCACCTTCCTCATCTCATTTCATCATAACACTCTTCCTTTCCCTACTCCCTTTTCCCCAGTGCCGAGTAGTCTGCTATAGTCTTGCACTCAGGCTAACCTCTCGGCCTATCAATCACTCCCTTTCCCCACATCCTCAAACCGTCCAAAAGACTAATCGAGATCTTGTTTTTCCCCGATAGATAAATTACACATTGCGTTATTTTCACAGAGATCTAGCATCAAATTATGGTTGTTCTTGTTGTGGTGGTTGTGGAGGAAGTACGCGACATTTAAAGCCAACTTTTTTGGCAAGCTGCACAGGTCTGTTCGCCATTTCATAGCCTGGGCATAGCATGGGCAAAGGTGTGCGAGAAAATCCATCATGTTCGCAATCGCGTCCACTGCAGTTGCGAAACAACAGTTCCTCTCTTTGCCAAAATATATGGCAACACCACCGGTCTGTTTTACAAACCACCCATTCTTCGCAATTAAAGCCTTTAAATTGTCTGAAATAATCCAACATATTCGGAAATAGACAACTAATTGGAATGTGCAAATTGAGGACGAAGACAGAAGAAGGTACTAACTAGACCTTCAATCTTAAAAAAAAGGGGAAAAAAAGAAAAGATTTTTATCTGATTCAAATGTTTCATAATAGATTTTTATATAAGCTGAATGGATGTTCCTTTCGAACAAAATAAAAACAGCCCCTTATTTTTGCATCAGTAAAAAAAAGAAAATACAAATTTCAACGGGACTTGTTTTCTTTCGTGGAGCCCGTCGGTGCGGGACACATGTTCCCTGGGCGCATCACACAGATGTTGCCAGCTTCGACTCGAATTTTTGGGGATCAATACTTGGCTTTAACGTAACGTCGTAGCATTATGCCGGTGGTCAACGTTGCTTGTTCTTGCCGATAAAAAAAACAAAAAAAACAGGTGAAGCAAAATATATATGCTGTAGAAAAGTACGTCAAAGTCGTCACGATAGAGGACAGTTGGTGTAATCGCTAAAACGTCAAGACGCAAAAAAAAAAAAAAAAAAATGTAGCTCTTTGTGAAGCCGCGTAGATTGAGCGATGAGATGCAAAAACTTCACGACTTGATACATTCACGACAGATTAAGAAATGGGGGGCGTGGCGAGTCATGAGGGTCTGATTTTCGTGCCGTAGCGAATGAAATTGCAGCACTCCGATAAGAACGCCAAAGAACCAATCAGAGAGAAGCGGGCGCGCTCGCATCTATTGGCGAC